AAAACAAAGATGTAAGAAAAAGGTGAATAAAAAAACAAAAATAGTCTCTAGTAACAAATCCACTCATTTACAAAGTAGACCACGAAATCTCGTATTGTGTGATTCTTTCTTAATTTCGTAGCCTTAAAATACCCGATACTGTAATGTTAAACATCCAAATATGATCATGAGTAATTTTGTTGAAACATTCGTTTTATTATCCTCGACAGTATCTCAGTATATCAGAAAAGTTAAATTGTGGTCATCCGCTTTACCCAAGTTATATTTACTCGACAATAATTAGATTTTTTTCTCTTGTGCTTGTCGATTTGGCACATTTTTTTTTATTTTTTTGTTTTTTGTTATTATTGTTTTTGTTATTATTGTTTTTTTGTTGTTGTTGTTGTTGTTTATTTATTTATTTATTTTTTTGTTTTCTAAACATTGCTATCTCAATAAAAGAGGTAGCAGGTAAAATATGCTCAGCGAACCTTTAGTGACAAATAGGGTTCCCATATTACAACTTTTAACTCTCCTCAGGCCCCCGGAAAGGGGTGCAGAAAATTTCCAGCCTAACTATAACCGTACATAACGTTTTCAGTACTGAATGAGGTACCATATCTGTGACCAGCTGGTGGACGGTAGGCTTCTTCGAGACTCATGCATGAATTTGTGTTAGACGAGGCGACTGACGCAGTGTAAATACCGTGTGCACTTCCAAAAAAAAAAAAAGACTTACGAAAAACAATAATGAATGAAAAATGTAAATTGATTCAGGTAATCAAAGCGCTCATTTACGAATAGCAGTACAAAATATTATCGGTGCTAATCGTTCTGAACTTCTGAGCCCTAAAATACCGTAATGTTATACATTTAAATATGATAAAAAATTGCATAAAACCACGTTTTATTATCATCTATCACAAAAAGTGAAAATCCTAGTTATCAGACCCCAAGCTACAGACGAAAAAACGTTTACAGGAGAAACATGTTTGGACTTCTAATCAGGAAAATCTCTCTCTTAGGTCCCGTTACATGGCGGGGCTCTTCTTACCGAGGTAAATGACTCTTTTACCGCAGGAAACTGCATTTAGTAAGCATGACCAATCTTTCCGAAGGTCAATTTTCCGCGGTTAATAATACCCATAAATACGTTACAAAGATCACATGAAGCGCCCTTGACATTTAATGTGATAAGTTGCTATGGTGTTTTGATGCCCAAGGTATAAAAGCAAATCGCGATTCACCGTTTGACATACGAAATCGCAAAAAGGAAAAATTGTTTTACTCCATGTGACACTATTTTTTACCTTGACAAAATCAGAAATCCCGTGTAACTGTTGGTTCACACCGTGTACTAAAGCCTAGCGAAAAACAGCCAGCAGACATATACTTCTAGCCCCAAGTTATTGGGGGTGGTGGTGGTGGGGAAGTTGATCGACAGATTAAGGAGTCATTGAAGTAAAACACAATTGCAAGCTAGGCTTGCCTTTTGCAGCAGTGGCGAAAACAAATGACATCATCGCAAAGCACGCGCACACGAGACGGTTTGGCTTCTCGACCACTCGCTCGTTGACAGTTGTGATTCTGAACTGTGCAATCAACAATAACGTGGCCTGTTTCATAGGAGTCTGCAACGGCGGCGTATTTTGGCGAGCGAGCGCATTTTGATAAGGCGAACACCATCTTGGGAGGCTTGGGAAAAGACGAAAAGGCATCCTGGGGGGGAGAGGGAGTGGGAAGGGAAATGTTTTTTTCCCCTCTTTCCGCCACCGCCCCCACACCCTCCCCGCCCACTTTTTCTAAGACAACATGGCGGCGAATCTACTCGATCGCAAACTAATACCGATAATTCGTGAACACCCAAAAGCGCCTGCACTGCGATTAAGTTTCGTCGGAATGCGAAATGACGTGCTTTTTTGTGCTTTTGCTACATAACTGGGATAATTATTAATTAATATTCTGTTCTTGGATGTTCACTCTGGGAACAGCTTTATTTCATTGGCTGTATTTTGACAACATTTGTGCCGGGATTGTTGATCAGTTCCAGTGGAGACAAATAAATTAATCTGTATCCGGTCGAGTTTTGGAAAAGTACTCTAAAGCCAAGATTTATGAGAGCAAGCCTGAACCAAGGAACGGTAATAAAAATGTCTATTTTCACTCATCAGCGGATATATTGGAATCAGTCGCTAGCTGCACGGAGTTTGTCTACGATAAACCAGCACGCGATTGCAAAAATGTGTTAGTTAATATTCGTGCTTTCTGCTTAGAACACTGTAAGTAAATTATACTCATAGAAATTAGATTTTGTCCTTAAACATGACCAGTAAATGCGAAAATGTTTAGCATGAAGTTTGAAGGCAAATGCAAATATTCTAGTCCTATTAAACTTGTGAGTCTACGGAAACTGGCACCGTTACGCAACTTATCAAGAAATCATGGCTTATCGAGGGGACCTCAGCTTGCTAACCTTAACTACACGGGAAAATACTGGACTTTGTCATTCTGTTATATCTGTCCGTAAAACTTCGGTTGTTGATATAAAAATGCTTATTTTAGCAATAGACGTGAGTTGAAAGTAATGAAATCATTCAAGTATAAATTTTTTTTCCGACAGTTGCAGACTGCCCGGCGCGACATTGTTTACTAGAATTTTTATAATCGTTATTGTAAATATGTAATTGCAGACAGTTCTGTCCGAAAACTGGAACTTTGTTTGATTGTTCCTTATCATCCAAGAATTTCGTGCTTGTACAAACAAAACACGAATGTTAAGCCACCTCATATTAAATGCCGCGTCAAAAATAAATACAGCAGCGGGTGTCTCAAACACTAAGACCTAAGACCAAAGACTCCCTCCGAATCTCAAAAACAAGTCGAAATTCGCCAAAAAACAACAGCCGGTAAGAGTAATCAGAGTAATGGCCGCCGCACAACAACACTCAACCTCGCGGTCGTTCCCAGGGTCCTCTCTCTTCCTAGTGGACCCAGACTTGTTAACAGGCTATGCGCCAAGTAGAGACTACGCGACGAACACTTTGCTAAGAAAGAAAGAAATATTGCGGGCCCTGACAAGATGTGGGAAATCCCACACAAACATAGGGCCAGTGAACGGTTTTTCAAATTTCTTACATGCTTTGTCCTGGCTACGGTTACCATATTATTAAAAACATTGTCACCTACATAAAAAGCGCAGGAGATAAAAGTGCTTAGCGATCCCTTTAGTGCAAAAACTGATCTTCTGTTTTATGGGAGGGTGGACAGGGAAGAAGAAAATTACGACACTGACTTAAATCGTTTAAAAGATTTTCGATATTTAAGTAAAGCTGCAAAGTTGAAGGATTTATTTATTCATTTATTTTGAATTGCCTGCAAGTAGTTTTGTTTCATATTTGTTTGATATTAACTGAGCAAAAACCTATCCATTGCCTCGCTCGTCACCATTCGTTGGGTCTGGTTGAAAGTGATAACTACCCGCCAGGAATGATCGAGTGAATGAGCTACCGTAGCTGTGACCAGCTGGTGGACTGTAGGCGTCTCCAAGATTTGTGTATGAATTTGTGTTGGACGAGGCGTATGAGTAAATGCGAATATCGTGTCCACCTCCAAATGTAGGTCCATAGCTAGAGTAACCGAAAATAGCATATTGATATGAATAATATTTTCTTGGTGGCCTGAATGTTACTGGTCCCCAGCCTGGCTTGTTCACCAGCGAGAAAATGAAATCTGTCGAACTGGACGAGTACTGAGAACCGGAAGTTAATTAGTTAAAAAAAAAAAGAAAGAAAGAAAGAAAGAAAAAAAAAGAAAGAAAGAAGATGTAAGAAAATCAAGAATGGATAAAAACTGTAAATCGATTCTGGTAATTATGCACTCATGTACGAATAGCAGTGCAAAATATTTGCTGTGTCAGTCGTTCTGAATTTCTTAGCTAGTAAATACTCTAATTTTTAATATTCAAATGTGATTAGATTTTCTTGAACACTCGTCATGCTTATTATCATCTATCAGAAAGACTGAAAATGTTCGTCATCTACGTTACCCACCTACGCTACACTTACCCCACAATTATACTATTTTATCTCTCTCTTGTGTCAGTCAATCAGTACACAAATTTTAATTCATAAACATTGTCATCTTTAAGGCGTAGGAGATCGAAAATGCTCAGCGATCTAGCTTGTTCTTTTGTTTTATGGGCGGGGGGAAGAAGGAAAGCAGAAAACGCGGCAGATCACTTTAAGCGTCTATAAGTTTTTCAATATTTAAGTAAAAGCTGCCAAAATACGCAATAGAAATCTGCCATCTCTAACGGCACATAACTCTGTTTGACATTTCATTGTTTAACAGGGCAAAACTGCCTCTATTGCATCACCATTCGCCAGTTCGGAAATTAATCATTATTGAAACTAAAA